TTTTTTTTTTTTTTTTTTTTTTTTACACTATGGGACTTTAAGAATACAACTGTTGTTCAAATCTACAAATTATGAAGAAGTTGCTTACTTTGAAGACCAGCTGAATCGCCATTAGCGCGCAGAAAATGCTCGTATAGAGAATGATATTTCGCCGGGACATAATCTTTGAAGCTGCCATAAAAGGTAAATAAAAAGATGACGAAGATTTCCCAAAACAAAGAAATTTTTCAAACAAAAAGAAAGAAGATGAAAGAAACAAAAAGAAAGCATCAAATGAGAGAGATCTTCAACTGAAGTAACTTATTAAAGATAAAGCTATATGGGTCATTAGTCTAATGTACTGAAATTCACGCGAAGCTACAAAACTATTTACGTCAATGAATCCAGGTTTTCTTTAATATTTTCTTTACTGTGGGGGGTAAAAGAGAATTTCTCGGTTGGTTGAAAGGCACGGTCAAATCCTTGTAACACAAACGAGTTGCGAACTTAAATTTCTTTCGGTTGTCTTCCACAAGTAGGTTGTGTTTGGTAAGCATATAAGCTAAATGATAACTTATTTGATTAGCTTATAAGTTTTCTGTATGCAAATAAGCTGGTCTGATAAGACGAGCTTTTTTAAAAAAGCTCGAGCTTAGCTTCCTTGGATAACTTTTCAACTAAGGCCATTGAAATCAGCTAATTTTACCAAACACTTTTATCATATAAGCTACCTTTTCAGCCATAAGTCATAAGCTATTATCAGCTATAATAAGCTAGAAATTCACCTAAAAACTATAAACTAGCTTATCAGCTAAGTTTACCAAACATAGCCGTAATCTAATTCATGTCCATATCTTAATCTCATCAGCTATTCCCACTAAACCTTCCAAGATATTCTTCACTGTTAGAAAGGCAATTTTTCACTCCTAAGAAACTAACTAATATACGACTGTGTGGTAAAGATCTGATACCCATGAAGAAGAGCGAGCCGGTCTGGAGCTGAAAATAATCTTGTGATTGATTGCAGAACATCGCTTATTTTCATTGAGTTTGACTTCAGGGCTCTCATGAAGCCCACGAAATTTTCATACTCTGCACCCGTAAGCTTTTCCCGAACCTGCAAAATTATGTTTCAAATATCAAAATTTTCATAGGCAAATCAAATTTCTTCAAAACTAAACCGAAGCATATGAAAAAAGAAATCAAATTATTTCACCTGGGTGAGAAAAGCTGATCCCTTTGTCTCCTCATTATGATGATTAAACGTTTTCTTTGACATGATCATTTCATCAGAGACCTCTGGAAGCTGTAATTTTTTCTTTTTTATCGAATTGCTTAAATTATTATCAGACTTCTCGTCATGTCTCGGCTGATCGGGCCCGGTTATTAACAATCTATGTTTTCCCAAAATGCACGAACCTGACATATCTTTAGTTTCTTCTCCAATTCTCTTCCCGCTGATCAAAGGCTCTTTCTGTGTGTGACTTGAGTGATTTGAGTCGGACGATTTGAATAAACTCAAAAGAGAATCGGGAAGAATCTTGTGTGATGTCAGGTATGAACGGTTAGCAGGAAGAACTTCCTTCGAAAGGCTAGATATATTTTTTTCTCGTTTTAGTTGTTCGGTTGAAGGTGATGAGTCAAAGGATGCATTTTCTGCAACGACATATGAGCAACCAAAGATTCTTATTTTAATAGTCTCCTGGAGAATATTTTAAAACTTCAACCATATCTTCAGCTTTTCGGTTCGTAAGCACATGAAGCAAGTATATTCCCACACAGCTCATATATCACGAAGCTACAATCCATTAAATTTACTAGTTGGTCCAAAACACAGCTGGGTAATCCTGGACCAGAAACCACTCCCACATCTCATCCAACTTTGTTAGTCAAAATTTCCTTTCGGAAGGTTCCATTCAGTTACAACTAAGATTCTCAAGGATCATGAAGAGCTCGAAAATCAAGTTGAAATCGGGAGTAGAAAAAGTAAGAAATTTTACATTACAAGAGCGGGCAGAAGCTAAAACTTTGGATAATATGGAGAAGTATAACTGGAATTAACCTAAGAAACAAATCTGCAAAGAACCAACAGATCGGGAGCTTAGAACAGCTAATTTCCCTGATTATTTTGACATGAGAGAGAGAGAGAGAGAACGATCGACTACTCATAATTGTCAGCACACTGCCCCACATCCCATTCTTTTCATTTTCTTTTTGCTTCTCATTCAAACATTCAATTATTTCTCACTCTGCATGAGAATGTGTCATAAGCAAGCCGTCAACTTTCTCAGAACCCTCCCTCCAACATCTGATCTTCATTCTCCAATGCATCCAAATATGAAACCTTCACCTAGCTTCTTAGTACTTTAAAACTAAGAGTTGAGATTTAACCTTTTTAGGGTGTGATTGGTTGTAAACTTAACCAAAAAAAAAACAAAAAAATCAAATTTAGCTCAACTTTAACCCAACCCCACTATGCTCAACAGTATCATATAATTAAATAATATCAATCAATCATTCTTACATATCACATCAACTTTAATTCACTATTCATCCACTCACATAATTTTAACTAAAAATCACTTCCAATCTTTTTCATCATTTTTCTCCTACTTTTACATCAAATCAATTTTAATTATTTTATTTTAAATAATATTTTAATTTCAATTTAAATCCTCACTAACAACTAACCGTACCAATTTTTTTAAAATTAACTATGGTTAAAAAAACAATCAAATCTATATCGAATCATAGGGACCTATGAACTAGTGATAATTAAGCAGCTAGAGGCAGCAGTAGTGCATGGAGTATTGCCATGTGACCTAGCTAAAGCGATACGTATTTTCAATAATGTCAATCACAATATAGTTAAACTATATAGGCTAAAAAGGTGGTCCAATGCAAGTTTCACAAATAACGAACTGGTGATTAATGTGGTAGTGAAAGAACACGAGAACAAACATAAGGAAGCAAGCACAAAAGTCACTAATTAAAAAACATTAAGAAAAATTTACCCTGATATTCATTTTGCGTCAATTCCAGCTTCTGAGTGCCACTGACCACAGCATCTTGTGCGAAATCAAGCTTTGGAGGGCATCGTGTTCCAGCTTCTCGGAAAAAACGAGTTAACGTGTAAACTACATCACCAAATTTGGAGTAACACTGCACATGCAAATTTCCCAATATTTTGATAATGGAGAATACAGAATAAAACAAACAAATTAACGAACACACACACACACAAGAGAGAGAGAGAGATATGTACTTTGACATGAGGTCGTATCCACAGTGATATTTGCGACTGGCGGCTCGAATTTGTGAACCTATTCATAACAACAATAGTTTAAAGAAAGTGCAAATATAATAAATTAATAATTATGGTGGCCTTTTAACATATTCAGGAAGTTTAGTGAAAAGACACGTGAAGTAATTAATTTCATTGAAAAATATCTCTTCAGGATCAAATATCTTGTCAATGACTGCATCTTACCTTTCATCACAGAATATAATTGCACCATAATCATGCTGGTGACGAATGACACGGCCAACGGCTTGATTTACGGCCCTTGATGCTTGTTGAGTGTACCACTCTTCTCCAGTCAAACCCTGTCGATTATTCGTGGTGCCATTACAACTACATTGCATACAAGCATGAAGAAGATTACAGAATATAAGAACTTTATTAGTCCATTCTATTATAGATTACCTTGACTCCAGTCCTTAGAGACTGCACCTGTTGGTCCAAGAATTCACGCTTTAGGCGAACCTGTGAATGGCAGTTGACATAGAAAGGTCTTTTTGAGTACTTGATAAAACTGTAATGCCACACTCTACAATATGCATGAACTCATAAAGAATTGGACAGTTTTATCAAATTTGAAGATAATATGCAAACAAGCTCCATATCATGAAGCTAACCTTAGCATCAGTCATGGTGGCAAATGGCAGCCCAGTTACAATCACAGCTCTCCCGGCATGGTCAGCAAAATCTAATCCTTCACTCACCTACAAATACAATTGGTAAAATATAACATATCATGCCACAAATAGATACTTTTCCACACAAGGTGAACAGCTTGACTTCAAATAAACTATGTAGAAGAGAGAAGTTGTTTATAAAGAGTATGCTTATACCTTTCCACGACAAACTGCGAAAAAAATTGCACCAGAAGAGCAGGTGTCCTTTAACTTTGTCATATAATCCTGATAAGGGAGAATTGACCAGTTATAAGCCCGAAAAAGGAAGCTCAACATGAAAAACGATATAAATCTGTATTTTCACGACTCACTTCAATCGCCAAAGGGAAAAGCGAGGACTGCCTAGGTTCCACTACGGGTAACTTATGCTTGCAGATTCTTTCCCAAATTGTAGTTGAAGTCGGTAAATCTTTTTGACCCTGAAAATAGAAAAGTTGATGAGTAAAATGTAAATAAAGTAGACCAAGTTTTAATCCCGACAAGTCACGCTTTATACCGTCGATTTCCAGCAGCTGATGCATTGGTCCAAAAGGTAGTAAGATGGGAAAAATACAAGCAGCCCATCTGGTACAATTCGAGCAAAATTGACTGATCCAAAAAAAAAAAAAAAAGACACTTTATTTTAGTGATATTGCCATTCACAACTCAGCTTGATATTAAACATATCCGTTTTGATATAGGCTAGATAAGAACAGGAATAGAATACAGGTCTTATAGTTAGGCTTGTAAACAAATCAAATTTGTTTTATTCGATTTGATATTCAAATTCGATATTCGTGATTTAAATTTGAATTCGAATACGAATAATGATTCATATTCGAAAGTTAAACGAATCGAATTCGAATTTGTAGATATTCAATTCGACATAATCGATATTCGATTCGTTAGCGATAATTATATAAATTGTATAAATTATATATAGTATAAATTTTGTTTATAATATATGTGGATATATATATATATATATTGTTACATTCCTTATATTTTTATGACATAAAAAGTAAAAACATCCCAAATTGACAATTGCCCTAAAAACATCTCAAATTGAATAGGAAAAACATAAACAATATTTTTGTAATTATAATGCTTTTTTTAAAATTATAATATTTGTCTGAAAACAAATTTCGAATAGAGTTGAATATGAATATTCAAAATGAATCGAATACGAACCAAACAATGAGTTCATTTACAACAACAACAACAACAACATACCCAGTATATTCCCAACTGGTTGGGGTCTGGAGGGTCTGTTGTACGCAGACCTTACCCTTGTAATTATACAAGGAGGCTGTTTCCGTAGCGACCCAAGGTGCATTGCGTCGTTTGATATATTTTTTTTCTAGAAACTTCACTAATAGAAGAAGCACTAGAATTTAGTTGAGCCATTTTGATCTAGTCCATTATTAGCACTATGCCAGGAGAATTGTCAACAATGACTCTTCCAGCTCCATTTGCAATGGACAAAAGTTCATTTACAAATCGAATACAAATTCGGATCTCGATATTTTAACGAATCGGAATCGAATATCTTAATATTCGCTTTGATTCGATTCGTTTACAACCCTACTTATTATAGTTCATGAGTTATGCATACCAATGGCATTGCCCAATTCCAACTTGTACTCAATAGATCCACGACTGCGGTAGGAAGAGTTGAAAGGGTAACCAGATGGCCCAACAGGTGCAATTCCAGCCCATATCTGATTATCCGATATGACATGAGGATTCTCCAAACGGATAGGAAATTCTCTAAGGCAGGAAATCATCAAATGAGCATATCAATCTTTAAATGTGAGCACAATGAATAACAGGATTCACTAGATTAATGATCACTCACAGTTTCAACTCTTCTGCAAATGAATCCATTGGTGATAACGTGCCAGATGTCAAAATGATAGATCCAATACCGAGCCTGGAGAACTCCTCCATGGCAATGCCGGGATTGAAACACCACCAGCTAAAGGTTCTTGAGGTTTTACCTAATTCAAAATATTGAGAAAAAACACATACGCATTAATAACAGTCAGTACTTTCTAAGCTGCATATGAGTTGGTCTGTTACGTCTTGCAACACAGTTTCGGAGAAAGAAAAATACTTTTTTTTCTGCTTTTATTTTAAATTTGAAAAGATAAGATCAGATAATAAATCTTCGGATGAGTATTTTACTTCTGAATTGGATGCAATTGTTCAGTTTGAACCATAATGTACAAATTGGTTCAAAGTACTAACTAATAGGGAAGTGAGGGTGTTCAATAATGCAAATGCAATCAACAAGTTGCTTCTGACATACATGATAGTGCATGCGTAAATAGTACAGAATACATGTTCTATTCTATCCCTTTTACGGGCACTTAATAAAAGAAACTGAAATTTCTTGCTTAAGATAAATTTATGTGCACTTTCTGAATTACAACACTACATGCCACCTCTCATTGGTGGTAGTAATGCAGCTCAAAAAATGGATCAGGGGTCAAACTTTATGAAGATTATGATGCAACTGAATTTTGTTGTTCCCAAAAAAAATCAAGCAAAACAAAAAAAAAAAAATGCAATAACTGTAGTTCTTAATACCAACATTTGTAAACTGATGAGTATAATAATAATATGTACAGGCAACTTCAAGCATTTTTTTACTGAGCTAGGTTTATAGGGTGCTATTTATCATCAAATATAGCAATAGCATGACAAAAAAACATCCTTGGCCAGGATAAACTGCAGGATACAGGAAGGTCATAGCAAGAAATCAATGCATTTTCAGCATGGTGAAAATTTAATTAAAGAACAAGAACGTTTAATATGCCAAAATGATAATTGTAAAATTCAGGAAAAAGTAACGAGTCAAATAGGAAGTAATTATGATATATGGATAGTATAAACCTCTAAACTAATATATACAGCCTTCGAACGTAAGAGAAGTCCCTAGACTACCTCTAAATTCATCTGCAGCGCTAGCTTCAACTTCTTGGACATGAACCTGTCAAATTTCGAGTCCAGGAAATCATGTGGTATATGCTTCAGAAAATTGTATGAGAAGGGGAGTTTTGTCATCAAGTAGGGAAAAATACAAGGAATTGATTATACAACTTACACGATAATATTGGGCATGAGCATTACTATCATCCCTGAAAATCAGTCTAAGTATGTCACCCATGTTTTCCAATCTGCAAATGGTCCCACTAGTTTTATGTGATCCTCCACTTTCACTAACGTTTACATCTGAAAAAAATGCGGAAGATTGGTTAATATGATATTTATTGAATGTTATAAATTGAGAAGACCGAAATTCTACCCTGATTTACAGGTACGCCAAGAGGAAAATAAAGGGGGAGAGAGTAGGTCCAAATATAAAGTTGAAATTTATGAAAAGCTCACATCTATGTATCGTGCATACCTTCTTCAAGAAGCACACATGCTTTCTCAATTATATCCATTAGCATGTTGGCAGTTTTCTGAGTTATATTTAGCTCAGATAGTAGCTCGTAAATGTAAGGGCCAGGCTTTGTAAAACCTAATTCTTTGGATTCAAGAGGCACCTCAGCTATTCTCTTCTCAAGCTTCAAAAGAAGTGCTGCACGAAAAAGCATAATCAGCCAATGTGAAGTTCCAACAAACTTATACACACAACAAAATATGGATACATAGTTACACACAGCTTAGAGATGAGTAGAAAGATAAATTTTATATTTCAAGTCCATAGCATGTAAGTTCCAAATATACCGTGATAGTAGTGAAAATTAATACAAAACAAAGATAAATGTATGTTCAGGATCCGAGAAATGAAGAATTTTTATTAACCTACTACTTGTGAAACAACCAATACACCAAAAGTCAGTGTACCTCTTAGAATAGCAAAATTATCTGGATTACAAGATTTATCACTTGATGTTTCCCTCCTCGTAACTGAAAGATCTACGCATTTTTTGACCTCTGATATACATGCAGTCAAAAGGCCTGATGGCAGGTCAAAAGAAGCTGCATCAGCACATATGCTCTCCTGCATTGTAAACCAATGTCAGCCAACATACTATAAAGATTAGTGTGAAAAATTATATGTCCTCCAAAAGGTAACATTTTCATATATACCAAGTTGTGAGCTTCGTCAAAAATAAGAATGCTTCTATCCCAGTCGATTTTCAGAGATTTCCTATTTCCACGATCAATAAGATAGTTGTAAGGCGCAAATAAGATATCAACATCCTTATGGATCTCCCTTGACAGGTAATAAGGGCACCTGAAGATGGAAGAGATATCATTTTCAAGTTCAATTTATCAACTACCTGATATAAATAATAATTGAACCAAGAAACTTACGCTCCACAGCTTTTTCCAATATTAACTAAGTCCTCTATATCAATCGGATCATCTCCAATTCTCGGATTCTTCTTCACAAATTCTGTAGTAAACCAAAAAAAGGTAAATTTTACTATATGTATATACATAAATATGTAGAAATATATTATTTTGCTTCTTAAAGGTATAATCGAAGTCATGATCATAAACAATGTCCTTTAGCACGTAATGCACTAAGACTAAATCATATCTGGCACATCACTGTAGACGATAATTTGGAGTATCCTATGTACAAATGCATAAACACTTCCCCTGAAGTTGCAGATTTTGTCACGAAAATACAAGAGATGAATAACTATGCATAGCTTTCGATAAGCTTCTCACAATCTCTCTCCCCCTCTCTCCTGTGAGAAAGCTCAAAACTTCCCCAGCCTAATATTTCAACATCAAAATAGCTGAAGCACAAAATGCAATCTTAGGTAATAGGAACTACATTTCTTTGAAACACCAGATTTTATAAGAAGAAAATACTAATGACATTAATCGCCAACAGAAAATAATGATAACAGTCATACGCATCTTAATACTGCCAAAATCCACTACGACATACCTGCAACGTGTTTAAAATGAGAACAATATCGCTTGGTGCGCCTTTTGCATAGGGCACGGCAAGCATTTGTCTGTGCCTTCCCACGGAGTAAACTTACTTGGTCGTGAATGCACAACTGCTCGCGAGATCCTAATACCACCATTTTGGGTCTGGATTTCATAATAATTAGTTTGTCAGCTAAATTTGGGTTGTGCAACATATAACCAAATCAGTGTCCAATGAGCTCAGTGAATAAATTAAAATCTATGAAGACTTGTATATTTCATAGAGCACAACTGCACGAGAATAAGCATATCTAACACGGAACCCCAAAATTTATGAGTTGGAATTTATTAGGCAAAATTAAAGGAAACATAAAGAGGAAAGGACATATACTAAACAAATACATACTAATAAGCATTTGTGGGTGGCCACATAGCGTCATGGATGTTCGATGAATTTACTAACAACTAACTGGGTTAGCAAGAAATGGAGTTCTCTAAACAAGTGACTGCAACAATCTCAACAAGAAGAACAAGTTTCCATGAGGATGTGATCTTCCTAGAGCAACAGATCTTACCAAGAAACTTATCAATAACATTATTGAGAATGTGCAATATTATTAATCAAGGACTTCAAAATTCAAAAAATATTAAATGAAAATAACAAAAAAGATTCCACTTTTGGGGAGAAGGTTCTCCAACTAACCATGTCAAACTCTATTTCTTCTCACATCAATAAATTGATATCAAATTTTAACTTCAACAAAAGAGAATCTCTATATATTTGACATTCAATGTATCCACAGCATCTAGTTTTCTGATGCTTCATCATCAGGTACAAAAGATAATCACTTGGAAGAGGCAATATAGTAGAACAGACCTGACCTGTAGTGGGACCTCTTCAACTCTTGAACCACTTGCCTGATCTGGCTGTGTGTCCGTGATGCGTAAATTATTGTTGGAAATTTAGAAGATTGAGATTGCTGCAAATCAGCATCCAAATGCTGGCTACCTTTTACAGTATTTCTTTCACTCAAACCTCTCGTAAAGTCACCCATGCTTTTCCTCCACGCCAATGTCGCACATAAAAGGCATAATGTTTTTCCAGTTCCAGTTGGGCTTTCTAGTAATGCGTTGCATCTCTGACATCATAAACAATAAAAAGGAAATGTAATGTACTCTGTGATGGCGGCAGCTTATCAGTCAACAGTTAATAGAATTATCTGATATAAAACTGTTTGGTATTGCTAATCATGTTTCTCAAGAAAAAATATGCATACGACGGAAACAATAATTTTGCATAACCGATAGTGATCAGCTATATGCAAGCTATATTTAACAAAGGATGCTCACAAACATATAGACCAGTGGTTGTGCAAATGATAGATTCAAACACATAATTTGTCCATAAATTCAGAACTCCAGTACAATAACACATTTAAATTCAACTCTGCAATAAAATTGTATCTCTGTACATAAATCGCGTAAGTCGAGCTTTGAGGTGCTGAGCTCCCATTATTCACTAACAGTACTGATCACAAACATGACGAGGACTCTCTCAAGTATCTATGCAGTTTAAACTTCCGAGTATAGATGAACATGTGAAAAACAAAACCATAATAATTAAAAAAAAAAAAAAAAAATTGTCAAGAAACAGTTTTCGAATTTAACTACTAAATCACCTAAAGTTACGAGCTTTATGCCAGATTTTAACTAAGGTTCTTTCCGCCATCAGTGATTCTATCACTATACATGAAAATCAAATTAAAAAATAAATAGTTGATAATATGAAAGGCGAAATGTAGAGTTTTCATACATTTTGAAGCGAGTGGATGACTTTCTCCATGTAAACGAGCTGGCAATCGTAAGCCTCGTACGGGAAATCAACATCGATCCCTCTGATTTTGTACCTCGGCATTCTGTATCAATGGTGATTTTGCTGTTGAATTGCTATGGTATGGACTGTTGTTGCTGGGCTCAAAACCCTAAAATACTCTTTCATGGTGTATTATCTTTTCCCGCCATTTTGTTGCAGAAGATTGCAAGCTACGCTGCCGTTTACCTTTGAACGACGGAATTTGCAAAATAAAAAATAAATAATTGATATTTAATGTGTTTTCACGTTTATAATAATACAAAAATGTTGTTCAAAAAAATATTTTATAGTGACGTTTGACAAAAAAAATTAAAAGTAAAAAGTGTGACATTTTATGGTAATTTTGAAAAAAAAAAAAATATACGTTAATTGTTAAGAATTGAATTTAATCATTTTTTTAGATAATTTGGCAAGATTTTATTTCCAAATATTTAAGAAACAAATATAAATTTCCCAGATTTTTCTTAAATATGAAATATTGAAATTTATTGGAACCCCATTTTTTTTAACCAATTTTGAGGTTCTTATGGTAAACTTTTGTCAATTATTTATGAAATTAAATTCAAGTACAAATTAATTTAAAATCCGTGCAACTTCTTCATATTATTTTTACTTTTTTACCAAAATCTATATTCTTTTTTTTTTAATTTTTCTTTACATTTTTTAATTAAACAAAAATAATTCTAATTCATTTCAAATATGAATGGCATATGAATCCCATTTTTTTCGTAACAAATTTCGGGATTGACTAGATTTCGCCAGATCTGTACAATTTGCTAGATTTTCTTAAATATTAAACTCATTGTTTGTAACCAAATTAGAGATTCTTATCAAATATGTGTCAATTATTTATGAAATCAAATCTAAATATAAAATAAATTAAAATATGTGGAACTTCTTCATATTACTTTTATTTTTTTATCTCGGCTGGGTTGGCCCGTCTCTCCTGGACTTCGGCCATGTCACAACTCGATCGTCAATTCTCTATTTGATCGTCTGAAGCACCTCTGCCACCTGGGTCTTCTGTGGGGTGTATTTCTCATACCTTTGGCCAATTTTGAGTGGTTGATCCAGTCACGTGTCTTTTCTCTTATCCTTCCTATTCCCATCGAATTATTCTTCCTAGGCGAGTTCACTTTCTCCTTCTTACTCTTCACAGGTAGAGTTATTTGCTCGAGCTTCACAAACTCAGCCTCCGTCTCCTTCATATTCACATACTTTTTGCATTGTCTCAACACTTCATCATATGTCATGGAACCTTTATTGGCTAAAGAGCTCCTACATGCCCCTACCCTCAGCTTCTCACGATACCTCTTGCCATAATTTCATCTAAGGCCGAAGGGATCTCGACGCAAGCCTTGTTATAACATCTACATAACACCTCAATGACTCGCCCTCTTCTTGCCGCATGGTCATCAAAGGTAAGTATGTTTTTTTGGAGCTACAACGCTTGCACACCGATTGAGAAAAGAGCTCGAAGGCCACTCGAAGTCCTTAATCGACCCCGAGGGAAGTTGGTGTAACCAGTCATGCGCCCCTCCCCTTAGAGTCGCTAAGAAAGCTCGACAGCTCACCGCATCATAATACCCTAATAAAAGCGACATATTTACAAAACAGTGTAAGTGTTTAGACGGGCCAGAAGACCTGTCGTAAGTAAGGCTAATCTATTTGAAGTTTGTAGGTAGATCCACTTCATAATGTCGCGAAATAAAAGATGACCTCGCACTCGCCCCACCATATTACCTTTGACCTTCGCCTGATGTTGTCGAATTTGTTCAGCCATCTTTTATAGAGCTCGATCCTTTTCGACCTTGATGGTCCTGCTGTCAGGCTCTCTAGCTCTGTTTCTTGTCTAGTCACATAGGCCGTGGTATTTGTTGCAGTGGTTGAGTGCAAGACTTTTTGAACCTGCACCTGAGCTAGCTCTGCATCTCGGATATCCGCGAGCATCCTCAACACTTGTTTCTTTGTCATCTTGGTGAGCTGATGAGTTAGGGGACCTCGAGGTGTTCCCATGAGTTGAGTCTGAATTGACGTTGGTTGTGCATTACTGCCTGTTGATTCTGCAAGTCATTAGTTTTGTGGCTACGACCTCCAAAGTGGCTCCTCGCTGAAAGCTCGAGCCCCCGGCAGTTGCAGTACAACTATGGGACTCTCTATACCTGGGATGTTAGGCATAAGGTGCTTAGGCCATGAGAATTGGCTGAGAAGCCAGGCATGTGACCTGCTGGCGTTGACCCACGCTTCACTAAACATGGTGTTAGGTTTTGAGTGTGCTTCGTTCACCATGGTTGCAAATCTGGTTGTTGAACAATGGTATCACAAACAACACCATTAATGGTAAACTATACTTCACTCAGCTTCACTCGAGTTGATGAAACTGGGTTGGCTTCCTTATACTTCAGATGTCTTCCAAACCTATAAGAACTCAATACCGAAAGAGGGTTTTTCAGCTAAAAACCTCCGATGTCTGAGTCAATGTAAGGTTAGAGAAGATGAAGAATAATTGAGCATCTAAAAGTATGTGAAAAGAATGTACACTGAAAAGTAACCTACCACACCCCTTTATATAAGGGTGTGGTGTCTTGCTCGACAAGTTTGCCCAGGGAGTTGACCCTACTACCCAAGTTGTCCGTCCGTACGACATGCAGTGTCTCAAACTGTCAAGTTTGTCAAGTGTGCAGACGACTTAATCTCGTCATGACACGTGGTAGTTAGATGCCTTGTTGTGTTGAAGTAAGACAAGGTTCACTTTATCAGGTAGAACACTTATTAGGTAGAACATCTATTCCCTAGCTCTCCTATTGTTCATGAGGTCGAATCAACCTCATGTTCTTTTAGGTCGAGCTCTGACGACAACTCGTTTTGCCCATTTATCCGGTCTAACTGCTCAGTTTCATTAGTCCAATCGACGAAATATGGTATCTCATATCAGAAAAAAAAAAACCATTAAACAAATTGAACCGTTAGTGGGGATGATTTGTCTTTTATTTGTGTGGTTAGATAAACAACTTGAGCTCAAGCTAGTTTAACAATTCATTTCGATAGTGAATCAAGTTCGGTCCGACCCATTAAGTTCCAAGAATAGGATTTTCATGTGAGTTTATAAATTATTAGATATACTCCAACCTGTTAAGTATCGAATTTAATTATTTAGTTTTGATAACTGAATGAAGACTGAATTAATTTATCAGTTCAATTAGTAAACGAGCCAAATTCAACTTTGAGTATCCCGAGCTCGCATTCCGCTTGACAAAGCCTAACGAATACGGTTCATATTGCAATTATGAAAACACTATCAATTTTTAATTTTAATTTATGTGAACTTGGCAAAACAAAATTTCATCCCACTTTAACTATAAGCCATTTATACTTTACAAACATCTTTTATAGTATTTGATGGTAACTTTGGACTAAAGCTATTAAACTACACTAGCCGCTCAGAAGCTCAACTCAACTTAGCTCGTAAAAGCTCGAGCCCTACTCGATTCGTTTATCGAATGAGTTGAGATCAAGCTCATTGTAAGCTTGTTTAATTAACAAGCCGACTTGGACACGGAAAATAAGAAATTTTTATGTACTTTTTTATAGTTCGGCTTGTTAAATTTTGAGTTTGAGCTTGACTCAATAATATTGATAAACGAACCGAACTCAAGTTCGATTACTTAATCATTTAGTTAACGAGTCGAACTCGACTCAACTTTGTAAAGCCTAAGAGATCACCATAAGTTCGAGCTCTACTCGACCCGACTCGACTCGACTAATTTACAACCCTAACTTCGATAAATAAGAGGAACTTCGAGAAGAACATGGTTCAAGTTTGAATTGGGCCAGTAGATTGACTACGACACCAAAACATTAACATAAATTATTAACTAAAAAGCCCACCTATTAAACCCACGAAGCAAGCCCAATACAAAGTAATAGAAAAAAGTAAAAAAAGTAAAAATAAAATCGAAGATCATTCTAGAAGGCGAGGTATTCCCTCGATGCGTCTGGATTATTTGACCAACTTCCTTTTTTTTATTTATTTACTTATATTTTTCAATTTATTCTATTTAATTATTAATTCAGAAATCTCCACACAAAACCTTCCTTCTCCCTTATAAACGCCCTCTCGACTTCAGGTCACCAGAATCTTTGCACAAGACCGAGATTTCATCGTTTCTTTTCTCCTCTTGCATTTTTGATTGTTCTTGGTTCTGTTTCTCAGTTTCTCTCTCTACGCGGCCGCCGCCGCTGTATCTTGTTCGGGGGAGAGAAGGTTCCGGAGAAACACGCTCGCGCGACCGATCTGTGCTCAGGTAGTTATTGGCTTGTTGAATTCGTAGTGTGTGTTGTGCTGTAGCGATTTTAGATCTAATTGGCTGTTTTTTAAGTTTCTCGTTTTTTGCTGCTTTGCGTCGGGAAGTATTTGGGTATCGTTTGTTTCTGTGGTTGGGCTGTGCTGATTGCTGAATCTGAATAATGGGAGTGTTCGCATTTTTGTTCACCTGACGTAATTAGCTTTGGTTGGGTGCATTGATTTTGAATTGTGTTTTATGGCCATTAGGGTTGGTTTTGCTTGATTTGTGTGGATCGGAGGGTGTTTTCTTTGGGAGCTGGCTTGAGCTTGCATATCTTATAAGTTTTCGTTTGAGTTGAAAATTATTGGTTTGCAAAAGAGATTTTTACTAAAACAATTATTAATTTTTAGTATACTGTGATGTGATCTAAAATAATAACTAACCTGCGATGCGATGAAAAAATAGTAAAATAATGATTGTTAGTTGAGTATGTAGTAAAGTATGATTGTTACTTGAATATGTGACTGAATGAATAGAATATTTTAAGTTAAAAATGTGGAGTAATAGTTGGGTTTTAATATAGAATTGTATCAAAAAATGTGTCATTGTGTGGAGAAACAGAAAAATGGATGAATAGTGTATTTTCTGATTTGTGGGTTGAAGAATGTATCAGAAAATATATCCAATGGCACCCATTAAACATTCTCTTGCATCTAAAAAACTAATCCGATACGAAAGGCTTACTGCCTCTCCCTAGAAATTGCATGAATCTTATAATCTTTCATTCAAGGTATTTCATTTAGTTTGCATAATTACTTTATGATAACTTCACCTGTCTACGTTGGGGTTCCTGTACGGTACCATGGTACATTGTGGGCCGAGACACTAGGCTTTGATATGATAAGAGAATTATTTTGCTCTTTCTTGGGCTTTTTAACTTTTTAAATTGTACTTTACCTTATTTGGATTCCTCTTTCAGGGATGGGATGTTAGTGAGTGGCTGATTAGTAAAACTTAATGATTTCTCATGATTGATTACCTTTAATGCTTCAGGTTACCTTGAACGTCTAAGTAATCATGAGTGTGGTCGGTTTTGATTTTGGGAACGAGAGCTGTGTAGTTGCTGTTGCCAGGCAAAGAGGAATTGATGTCGTACTTAATGACGAATCCAAGCGTGAAACCCCTGCAATTGTATGCTTTGGCGACAAGCAGCGGTTCCTTGGAACTGCTGGAGCTGCTTCGAGCATGATGAACCCTAAGAACACAATATCTCAGATCAAGCGTCTGATTGGGCGGCGTTTTTCAGATCCTGAGCTGCAGCGTGATCTCAAATCGCTGCCATTTTCTGTAAGTGAGGGGCCTGATGGATACCCGTTGATACATGCTCGATATCTGGGGGAAACCAAGACGTTCACGCCAACGCAGCTTCTGGGAATGGTGCTTTCCAATTTGAAGAGCATTGCTGAAAAGAATTTGAATGCGGCTGTTGTTGATTGCTGTATAGGGATCCCTGTGTACTTCACTGATCTCCAAAGGAGAGCAGTAATTGATGCCGCAACAATTGCTGGCCTGCATCCCCTTCATCTGATTCACGAGACAACAGCTACTGCTTTGGCCTATGGTATTTATAAAACTGATCTACCCGAAAATGAACCCATGAATGTCGCATTTGTCGATGTTGGTCATGCTAGCATGCAGGTGTGTATTGCTGCCTTCAAGAAAGGCCAGCTGAAGATATTGTCGCATTCTTATGACCGGTCTTTGGGTGGAAGGGATTTTGATGAGGTGCTTTTCCAGCATTTTGCTGCGAAGTTTAAGGACGAGTATAAGATTGATGTATACCAGAATGCGAGGGCTTGCTTGAGGCTGCGTGCCGCATGTGAGAAATTGAAGAAGGTTCTCAGCGCAAATCCTGAGGCGCCCCTGAACATCGAGTGCTTGATGGACGAGAAGGATGTTCGGGGCTTTATTAAAAGAGATGAGTTTGAGGAGATTAGCATTCCCATTCTGGAACGCGTGAAGAGGCCATTGGAGAAGGCTCTTGCTGAGGCTGGTCTTACTACTGAGCACATACATTCTGTTGAAGTCGTTGGTTCAGGTTCAAGGGTTCCTGCTATTATCAAGATATTGACTGAGTTCTTCGGTAAGGAGCCTAGGCGGACAATGAATGCAAGTGAATGTGTGGCCAAAGGCAGTGCTCTGCAGTGTGCTATTCTTAGTCCCACATTTAAAGTGAGAGATTTTCAGGTATTTATTTCTGGCAGTTATGTTTTTAAAGGTCATATTTCACTGCTTTGGGCAAGTTTATAAACTATTGACTGGTAAATGAGCCGAGGCATTTTTTGTGTTACTTTTATTTTCCAGGTTAACGAGAGTTTCCCATTCCCCATTGCTTTGTCATGGAAGGGTTCTTCTGCTGAAGCACAAAATGGGGTGGGAGAAAACCAGCAGAGCACTACCGTATTCCCCAAGGGTAATCCGATCCCTAGTGTCAAGGCTTTGACATTCTACCGATCTGGGACCTTCTCTGTAGATGTACACTATGCTGATGTCAGCGAATTGCAGGCACCCGCCGAGATTAGTACTTACACGGTATGTTATTGTAGATGTTATTTCTTTATAATTGATATCATATCCAACTCAATCTTGCATTATTCATTGGGTTTTCTTAACAATGTCGTTCTCTGAGTTGCAGATTGGACCTTTCCAGTCGACAAAGGGTGAAAAGGCAAAACTTAAAGTCAAAGTCCGCCTGAATCTTCATGGCATTGTATCTATTGAGTCAGCTATGGTAATATCTGATTGCTGAGCTTTCTAGTCCTTTTATTGTGTTTGCTGTCTCAATATATGATGGTGTTTTAACTTAAATGCTTGTTTAAATAACATGCTGTTACTCTTCTGTCTCGAGAGCTAATAGTTGAAAATTTATCATTATTATTCAAAGTAGTCAACGTATACAGAGACAGAGAAACTATAGATTTGGTTTGTTGCCATAGCAACCAAGTAATTATCAATACATCATAATTGAATCTTGTTCTATCTAAAGTCGTTATGGCCTTTGTCAATTCTAGTTAGTAGTTATTGAATCTGCCACAATCCTTGAAATTCGCATATAAATCTGGTAATAATGTGTCCATTATTTTTCTCTTTCCTAAAAATTCTAACCAATGAATTTATGTATTAGCTCATGGAAGAGGAGGAAGTAGAAGTTCCAGTTGCTAAAGAGCCGAAGGAGGCTACAAAGATGGAAACTGATGAGACCTCTTCAGCTCCTCCGAGCACTGCTGAAACCGATGTTAATATGCAAGATGCTAAAACTGATGGTGCAGCTGAAAATGGTGTGCCTGAATCGGGAGACAAATCAGCTCAGATGGAAACAGATGTCAAGGTTAGTTTACAAGTATCCATGTATTGCTAAATAGTTTTACTTAAAGTGACTCCACTGTTTCTATCGTAGAACTCAGAACATATAATTTACTGCCCTCTTTTTCTTCGTACTAATTTTAAGGAGACATTTTACTAGTCAATTCTGATTATCACCCATCTTTGTGCTTCTGAAAGTACAAAATTTGGTCGCATATGGATTGTTGCATTTTGAATGGTTTTCCTTGGTCAGAGATTTTTTTTTTTTTAATAATTAGTTTGAGTGTATGAAACATAAACACAATGTTGCAAACTGATTTACGAAAGAGAATGGAATAAAGAATGATTTAGGTAGATAAAAGTTTGTAGTGAAAATAGTAGCAAATCATGTCAAATAATTATGTAGTATAATTATTTGAACATTTACTTTTAGAAAATTGGTTAAAGTGATTGATAGGAGAATACTAGAGACTCAATTTCAGAATAAAGGAAAAATTCCTGGGGGCATATCCACTTGCAACTTACTTCTAACTTATTTCCTCTTTCTTCTCTAACTGCATATATTATTCCAATGGGTCCTCATACAAAGGTTTCTGCTGTCTTGTGTTCATCAGGTTGAAGCTCCAAAGAAAAAGGTTAAAAAAACCAACGTGCCTGTATCAGAGACTATATATGGTGGAATGGCAGCTCCAGATGTACAAAAAGCTGTCGAGAAGGAGTTTGAAATGGCTTTGCAGGACCGCGTTATGGAGGAAACCAAGGACAAGAAGAATGCTGTTGAGGCCTACGTTTATGACATGCGTAATAAGGTATGAAAGAGGCACCATGGTTTTGCAGTTGGTATCTTATTTTTTTGGAGACTCACACTTCCCCTGCATATGCAGCTTCATGACAAGTATCACGAGTTTGTAACCGAATCTGATAAAGAGCAGCTTATTGCTAGACTTCAGGAGGTGGAAGATTGGTTATATGAGGATGGAGAAGATGAAACGAAGGGGGTCTATATTGCTAAATTGGATGAGCTCAAGAAGGTGAGTGTTTTGTTTTGTTCTCATCTATACATCCTTTCCTCAGCTTAATGTGGATCATCCTAAAAAGTTGAATTTGAGTTTGACATGATCTTCACTCAGACTGTCCTATAATTATTGTCGCCTGTCAGTTTCATAAATTCTTAATAATTACATTTCATTCAGGATGTTTCTGTCAAACAGATAGAAAAGTGAAACTGGATTACGGGAGCATTTTTTGCCTTCCCTTATCTTTCTTTATTTTTTCTGTAAGTTTTTGAGACAATCATTTTATTTACTTGAGAATAATATATCTGTAGCAAGGTGACCCTATAGAGGAACGGTTCAAGGAGCATTCAGAGAGGGGAATGGTGATTGACCAACTCGCCTATTGCATCAATAGTTACAGAGAAGCTGCTATGTCGAGCGATCCTAAGTTCGATCATATCGATCATGCTGAGAAGCAAAAGGTATATATATCATCTGATCCCAATAACTCTCATCTTCTCATTCATTCTCACTTGAACATTTGAAGGGAACCTGCCTGAAAACAGGACAATCTCAATTGTTTGGTGTATTCAATGTTGATCTTTTAGTCATCTGTGTTTTCACTCTGTTTACTTGTTTAGGTCCTGAATGAATGTGTGGAGGCTGAAGGTTGGCTGAGGGAGAAAAAACAGCACCAGGATACCCTTCCGAAGTATGCCACACCAGTTCTATTGTCTGGCGACGTTAGGAAGAAGGCCGAAGCTCTCGACAGGTATTGTGTAATTGTCATATTCTTCGACAAATTACTTGGCATCTATTTGTTACATGCTTGGATATAAAATATTTTGATTTTGTTCCGATTTTTTGGTTGGTATGGTTAGTTGGTGAGATTTTTGAGTTTATATTAAAATAATATTTAAATAAATAAAGTTGATTTGATGTGAAAGTAGGAGAGACGTTGTGAAGTGATAGTTAATTAAAATTGAGAAATGCATAGGTACTTAATATTGTAGTACATAACACTCACATTAGTTGGACCTACCAAAAATAAAAAATCAAGTGGACCCCACCATGTGAGTGTTATGTGTGCATGTAGCATTTTCCATTCCATTAAAGCTACATAAGTGGATGAATAGTGGTGTAGCTTAGTATCTAGTATTATTATTATTATTATTATTATTATTATTATTATTATTATTATTATTATCTAATAGGTTTCTTAGAGAATAGACTAGGTTTTTAATATTTAGTAAGATATCTTGTCTTGTTGGACAAGTAAGGTCTAGACTCTAGGGTTAGGAGCCTTATTTAAAAGACTCTTTTGTTTTTATGAGATTCGGTTGATTTTGAATGAAATAAAAATTGATAACTTGAGTTTGCGTGTTTTACGAGAGAGTATCTCGTTTACTCGTTTTATCCTCCCCACTCGTACGCTTCTCCTACATCAAATAGTGAATTATACATTTATTTGTACATGTAGCATTTTTCATTCCACTAAAATTATATGTAAGTGGATGAATAGTGAATTAAAGTTGATGTAATATGTAAGAATGATTGAGTCGTATTATTTAATGATATTAATAATACTGAGGATGGTGATAAAAATGAGTTAGATTTGTGTTAAAAAAAAGTGATTGATTAAAAATGATCGTTGCGTTTTTCATCCCTAGCATGCAGCATGCAGAACTAATATTAATTGATACAAATATAAATTTGCAAGTGAAGATATTTATTAGTTAGAGAGATGTTATTGTAACATCTTATAGTTAATTCATACGACTAATCACAAAAGCTAATCCTACGCTTTCAGTGTGGTTATGAAAATCCAAGTTTTACTAAATTACAAGAATACCTTTGTGCATCAATCATGAATTAGCCATTTGGAGGATGAAATATGGAAAATAGAAAGAAATCTAGGGGCTATGCAATGGTAATTCGTGAGCACTGAGTAGTTTCTTTAATGGACTTGATTGGTCTTTAAGCAAAATACTATTATAGTTCTTCTTGATCTAAGATGAACAATATGCCTTCCACAGGTTTTGCAGGCCAATCATGACTAAGCCGAAGCCCGCAAAGCCAGCCAGTCCCGAGCCACCAGCCCAAGCTGGTGAGTCTAACTCTCAAGGAACAGACAATGCCAGCCCGGCCCACAATGCCAGCCCAGACAATGCTGCAGAATCAGACAACCCGGCTTCGACAGAACCCATGGAGACAGACAAAGCTGAGTCCACACCAACTTCTTAATGAGTTGGTGAAGAATCAATATTTATGCGAGTATAACGAACTGTTTGGTTTTTTTTTTTTTGTTTTGTTTTGTTTTTTTTTTCTTGTCTTGAAATTTGAAGTTGGGACCTAATTTATGGGGGGCTGTGTGATGAATATTTGCAGATGTGATGGTTTATTTTGACTTTCTTGTTCCATATACGCATATGTTTCAGCCGGTCGGAAACTATTCTTATTATAGATGACTATGAGTTATTTTTCCGGATTCGTAAGTAGATTGGGGTGGCCCGAAGGTGTGTTGTGTTCATGAACCTCCTTTTGTATGGGAATGCAATTGGGGCTTCACTTTCAGATTGCCCTGTAATTTTTTTCTTCAATGGAACTCAAGTTTTGTTTTTGTTGTGTTTTTTCCTGGCATGTGAGTGCTGCAGAATGTGCAGAAATTGGATATTCGAGCCGGTGTTAGATTATTACTGTTTGTGTTGGTTTAAAATTCGAGTAAAAAATTGAGTTAGAGCTTGTTTGTTTAATTATTCGCTAAATTTGAGTTTTTAAATAATTTAGAGCACAAACTTTTTAAATATGTTAGATTAGATTAAAATTGAATCAGTTTTGCTATGGAGCAATCGGATTGTTCGGCTTATGGAGCAATTCACACTTATTCACCAATAATGTATTGACACGTGTCTTGCAATAAATACAATTTGGACAGGTGTCAATATATTAAGCAATTGATGGCTCTATAAGAAAACAATTCGATTGCTCCATAGAATTTTTGTAAATTGAAATATGTTCACCTGAAATTGGAGAAAAAAATTTATTCATATTTTAAATTTTCTGTAGAACACAAACTTTTTAAATATGTTAGATTAAAGCAAATTATGTTCGCCTGAAATTGGAGGAGAAAAAAAATATATTTTTTAGGCCTTTTGTTAAAATATCATGTAAAAATAAAAATATAGTAATTTACTATTGTCGAACGTTTTTTAATGTACTCGTAATCATATTCGATTGATTGTGAAGGGCTTGCTTGTTTATGAAATAATTTGCTCAAAATTAAATATTTTGATTAACTAGAGTTAAATTTGAAAAAAAAGGTATGGTTAGTTGTTAGTAAGATTTTAACAATATATTAAAATAATATTTAAAATAAAATTATTATTATTGATTTGATTAAAAGTATGAGATAAATAATTGAAAATGATAAGTAGTTAAAATCATGTTAGTGAATGAATAGTGAATTAAAGTTGATGTGCAAGAACAATTGGTTTACAATATTTAATTTTATAAATAATATTAAAGATAATGAAGTTAAGTTAAAGTTGCGTTAGATTTTGAGTATGAAATGAATGTGAACAAATTATTTCATATAGAAGCATGCTCTAAACGAGCTTAATTTTTTGGTTTGAATTTGGCTCAATTAATGGACAAACAAGTTATTGTCGAACACGAACAGGCATTCGTTGTCTCACAAATGCTACTAACTAATTAAATTTCTTCTAATTTTTTCCTTGTCTAAGTTTTCTCCAGTCAATCAAAAATCACATAAATGCTAAGTTGTACTAGGTTTGGTAGAGTTTGAATTTTTAAGAGTGACGATAAAACCTAACTATTCAGAGCAATCTTCAAGAAGTCGTTGTAGTATAGTGGTGAGTATTTCCGCCTGTCACGCGGACGACCCGGGTTCGATCCCCGGCAACGGCGATTTTCCTTTTTTTTTTAGTGTTTATTTTGTATTTTTTAAAAAAAAAAGGTTGTTTACGGATTTAAAATTTAGTCGCCGTCATTTTATCTGGCAGTAGATGTCATCACTGTCAGCTTCAACCAATAAATGATTTTTTTTTTTTTTTTTGTACATGGATCTTCCAGTTTTCGGATCCACAGGAGAATCGATTAATTCGAAATCGAGCCGGGTAGAACCACAAGGGCGGCAAAGCTCTCTCAAGAGTTTTTAACACTGCTGCATTCCCAGGATTCGAACACGAGACCACTGGTTAAGCTGGAAGAGACCCAAACCATGTCATACAAGCGCTCTTGGGTACCAATAAATGAACTTTAAATTCTTATTCATCGTATGAAGCATTTTTTAAATTTTATTTTTCCATCCTGATTTAAATTACTCTGTTTTTTGTGTATAGTTATTGAGTATTGGACTATTGGTCAATCTTGATAAATTTATAAAAGTATTTTAATTGACAATGTTAATAACATTGATATGCACAAATGAACACAGTTAAAATATAATTTTTGTCCTGCCTTTTGAATGGCCGAGTAATTTTTGTTTCAATGCAGCGGTATGGGGCACATCGAGTAATACAATTTTGTTATAAATATATTAATATGGACATTACTAATAAATAATTGGGCCTGAAGTCCATTAGTGAGTAGGATTAGGTTGTAGGGCTTCCCTCTTGTAAACCCTATAAAAGGGTGATTATACTGATGAATAAGATGACATACTTTTCTGCTTCTCTTTTATCGTTCTCTTTACTGCACATCTTATGCTTGGATTGATGGATGCTTGTTGAAGATTAAGAGTTCCAATTTACAACACGTTATCAGCACGCTCTAGTTCGTTGTTGGTGTTGCCCTAGGAAAAATCGTGTTTTTCCTGCAAGGTATTTTCGAGATCCATTTATTTCTTAATTCAT